CAAGCACGAAATAACGAAAACACTTTTGTTCATGCCAAAAGCACAGCCGATTCATCCAGAATTTTTTCGCCAAAAGAACTGTTTCATCGACAGTTGTTCGTGTTTCACAAAAACTTGTTTTCAGTTTTTGAAAAAAGAAGTAATTTAGTGCAAAAAGTTCGATCGGCTGGTTTGTGAGACAACTATGCCAGCTAGCTAGCTTCGAATCTACGGTCCTACAATATTGCAAACCTTCTCTCCCTTCATTCCTGGGGCACCCTCCGGACCAATGATTGTACCTTTGGCACCAGTCGATGGCACAGGACCTGGTGGACCCGGAGGACCGCGAGGTCCTTGATCGCCCTAAAATTAAAACAATGTGCAAATGAAGTAAAATGCAGTAAACGCACCTTCATACCTTTTTCTCCAGGCACGCCACGTGGCCCTACGATGGAACCAGAACCAGTGAATTCCCGCGGCCCAGGCGGACCTGGCGGTCCTGGCTGGCCAAGATCTCCCTAAAGGTAAGCCTCTTCCTGTTTTCATGTAAAATGAACTTCATAAAAAGCAAAACGTACATTAAAAAATCATTTTTTTGTACCTTTATGCACATCACAGTGCTCAAAAGTTCAAAAAATTTCGCCATAATTTTCATTTCGAAGAGATTATAACATTCAAAAGCTCACGAAAATTCGGCCAGCACTTTATCTGGAAAAGCTAAAAAACTGAAAAGCAAACATACAGGATCTCCTTTGGGCCCAATACTTCCAATTCCTGGATTTCCCGGAGCGCCAATTTCACCTGGTGGTCCTCGTGGCCCCTAAATTATTGCACAGCTATTTACGTTTTGAATACATGTAATCCAAAAATGCATTGCTTTGAAGCGCTGCAGCACATCTGAGAAGGCATGTACCCATTTCTAGGTGTTCCTAATACACACTTATGCACACTTGTTTGAGCAATATCGATATTTGTAAAGCCTTTTTTTTATATTATTAATAACTTTCTTTACTACTATATTGACTAAAAAAGCTATAAATGCAGTAAACGTGAAAAATGTTTGCGAAATCATGCTGGAAAGGAAAAGCCGCCTGATGAAAGGATCAAGGAAGGTTAAAAGCTGGCCTATCCTATATTATTCCCGCTCGCAGTTTTTTGGCTCCTTTTTTGTCACTAGCACTTTCGGCCCAGGATACAGTAATTTTATTCCGTTCAAGCGCTCTTTATCTGTCTCTTCGTTTATCGGAGGAATCCTGTCGCTGCCTTTGTTTCAGAATATCAACGTAAAATAATAAAAGCAAGCCAAGAACAACAAGTAGAGTGCCGCATCTGAAGAACTTACAGGTGGACCGACGTCGCCACGATCGCCTTTCTCGCCTGGGAAGCCGTCTCGTCCTGGTGGACCTGGTAATCCTGGCATACCCGCCATACCTGAGTCACCCTTAAGAAAAGACACTGCTGAGTAAAAGATGCAAATGAGCAAGCTAAAAGCAAACGCATGACTGTGTAATTTCCTTTATTTCTGCATCATTTAATAAAAAGAAATGGAAATTAAAAATGATACTTTTTCGCCCGGGGCTCCGGCATATCCAATAGCTGGTTCACCTTTCGGTCCTGGAGTACCTGGAATACCTGGGAAACCAGGCATGCCAGGAGGTCCAGGCATTCCAGAGATACCGGGAGCTCCATCTGTTCCGTTGCAGCCATCCCAACCGGGCGCACCTGGAGGACCCGGTTCTCCTGGTCGACCATTCGCGCCGTCATTTCCCGGAAAGCCAGGAACACCAATCAAACCCTGGAAAACATATCTGTTTAGCCTAAACTTCGACCAATATTTTTTCTGTAAATTCTTGAAAGAGTGTTCAAAAATTTCAAAATACTAACCCGATCGCCTTTCATTCCTTGTGGCCCTGGTGGACCTTGCGCTCCTTTTTGACCTTTCGGCCCAGGTAGACCTTCGGGACCTGGAAATCCTCGTATACCCTGTGCACCGGGAGGACCCTGAGGGCCTGGCATACCCTGCAAAGAAATATTTGAAAATGCTTATCGTTCATAACAAAACGAAAAAAAAATTGTTGAAAAAAACAACGAAAATGAAATATTTGAAGGTACTGGAGAAAAGCAGGAATCAGCTTACCATACTTCCCTTCTCGCCGACGCAGAAGCAACCTCTGTTCGTACAATCCCGACATGTCGTTTGCTGAAATATTCGAAATCGTGAGGCTGACAATTTCGGTGATTTCACAAAACCTTCAAAAAACGTTCAAAATGACCATCGAAGTTTAGTTTGGGCATGATACCCTAGCTCTCAAAACATGATGTACACTTTCCGATGCAAAACCACTCAGAAATAACGAATCTTAGGAAAAATGAGATCAACCAGAGGATAGAAAAGGTGGCGTAACTGTCTTGGGGAACACTCATGATATTACGGACAAAACAAAGTTCAAGCGCAACATTTGTAAATCTGTTAGAAGCTCCGCTCGTGGTCCGACTATTTAACGTGCATTAGTACTTTTGGAACACAATTATATGAATGCGAGAAGCGATAAATCGAAGAGAACAGAAGTAGTATTGAATGCATCGATGATGCGAAGACGGGCAACGCTCAACAACTGACCAATCAATCAAAAAAGTTATTTTGGTAGGATAAAATCATTAAGAAGGGAACAGAATCTTCTGCATTTGCTGCCTTTCCCCTTCCAGCACTTTATAGGTATCATTTCAATACAGTAAAATTAATGAACTGATAAAATGTGCGAATATCAAACTCAGGTTGGAATGCACTAGGCGTGTCGGTGCGGTCATGCATTTTGCACCGGAGTTGAAGCACTTAGATCGTTAAACGCACGAATGGTTGTTGCTTTTTACCTATCT